CCATTCCAAACACTCACAATGTACAAAACACATGCACTGAAAAAATTAGCAAGTACACAGAACTTGCCCAGGAAATAAGGCATCTATGGAGGATGGATAGGGTAGTTATTGTACCTGTTGTTCTTTCCTGTACAGGTGTGATACCACACACACTACACAAAAGCCTGGGAACATTAGAATTGAGTAGAAATACATACATAACACTACAGAAGGCCACTATATTGAATACATGCCACATTGTTAGGAAATTCCTGAATACAGACACTGACACTGACACACTTCTTTAATTTTAGTTTTGTTTTGGTTGCTATGCCTTGACTCTGGTCCAGCATAGTACACAGCCACCGGTGTGAACCGAGTATAACTCACAAAACCCAACATAATAATAAAACAAACTGCTAAAGTTCTGATTACCAAAAAGATATTTAATCAGAAATGTTTTTAACCTTGAATTTGGTTATTTTTGGCTGACAGAATAAATGGAATAGAATTATTTTAAATTTAAAAATTCAAATTTGGAAAAATATATAAATAAAATGAAATAAACATATACTATATATAATGATATATAAAAATTTGATTAATAAATGTAATTCTTTAATACAAATTTTGAAGAACATAATCGTCAAATATTAAATTATTGAACAAGACATAATAATAATCAATAAATAAATCAAAAAATGAATCAAAATTTCTATATTCTAATTTTTAAGAATTACAATAATGTGCACTAATTTATAGATATTTAAAATTAAATTTTAATTTAGATTCATCTTCAGTTATCAGTAAATTCTAATAATTTTTTATTCAATAATCATACACTTGGATGAAGTTATTTATCCTCATGGATATAATTGATATCCATGGTGATTACATTAATGGACAATGATATAATTGATATTATATCCTTGTCCATTAATGTAAGAGTATTAAGAATTCCACCAATATAAAAAGTATAATTTTATTAGAATTTACTGACAACTGAAGTTAAGTCTCAATTAAGATTTATGGTTATAAAGATATGATTATTTGTAAAACAAAAATTTAATATGTATAATTTAATGTGTATTAGAATTAAAAAAATAATAACAACCATATTTATTGCACTTTGAGTGCTAAAATAATTGATTTTATCATGCTTAAAGATTCAATAATTTATTTCTTTTGCAATTTTTATTATTAAAAAGTTACAGTTGTTAAGCTTCTGTTTTACAGTAATTATTGTAAATTGTAAAATAAATAAAACTTTTGTAATATTTAAAGAAACTTGGTAATTATAAGTTATAAAAAGTTATTTTTCAATTTATTTTTTAAATTAGACATAAAGATGGAATGGTCAAATAGCGGTGAATTTCTAGCTGTAGCTGGATTGGCTGAAAACTCATCTGGTGAAGAATATGTAAATCGCATTCATTTTTATACTGAGTCTGGTGTATTATGCTTTGTTGTACCAGTGCCACATAGTCAGGTAAAAATAAATCAAGATAAAATGTAATTTTGATTAATGTTGTTATAACATAAATGCAATATGTAATATTTTATGATCATATTTTGTATATGTAGAGAAATTAAAATTTTTTAAAATAAAATTCTATAAATAAATAATAATTATTAGTAAAAAACAAATACAACTAAAAATAATTTTAGAAAAATAGTTATGTCTAAGATTTAAAATGATACTGTATCAATTTATATATAATATCTCTCTTAATCACAAGTTTTTTCAATAAAATACCATTTTTATAGAGAAAATAACTTTTAAAAACAGAATAAAGCAAAAGAAAAAATGAGAAACTAAGATAGAAATGTAAGAAAATACTAATTTGAATTGTAGATGCTGCAGTACACATGCACAGGGTCATTATGCAGATGCACCATCTGTATAACAACAATAATGTATAGACCAAAATTATTTGTGATAAAATTATATGATGATCATAATAATTATAGCTATCTGCTAACTATTAAATGACTTGTATGAATTTGAGGGCTTTTTGTATTGTAAATATCAAAACATAATATATATAAACTTTGTTTTGATATATTTATGTTTGATCAAATAGCAATTTTATAATATCTCAAACCATATAATATTAAATATAAAATTGAACAAAAATGCATATAATAATTAATATGATTATTTGCAGTTATTAAGAATTGTCTAATTTTAAATATTCAGTGCTCTTAAAAACTATAAAAGAATGAAAATATGATGATGATGATAATTGGCACATTTTTTCAATGAGACAAGGGGACACAACTATTAAAATTTTCTGAAATGATTGGCTTATATTTGACAATAATTTTAATTTATTAAAGTAAAGACATTATTTATTTGGACCAATATATTTCAGTAATTTATAGTCATTAATATTTGTTGTTCTAAGAATTAAAAACAGAATATATTTCACAGTGGTATGAAAATTAAATTAAACTAAATGATATAAAATAGCAGAAAACTCAGTATCTATCTCAATATACAAGCACGAGGATATAATTTATGTTGTTGATGATAAACTTTTTATTGTTAATAAATCTTTCTTTTGCTAACATCCTTGAATCCAAAATAAGTTTATTAAGTTTCAATTTTAATCTTACTCCATATTATGAATTTAGTTTTTATAATTCTAAACAAATTAATAAAGTAATTTAAATAACTGGCATTTGTAATCTTGTATTTTTTTTTATTTATAGGATCCTGTAACTGCAATAACATGGGGTCATAACGATCGCCGCCTTTTTATTGCAACTGGTTGCATTATTCACGTTGGATGGGTAACTCCTAAGATTGCATCTCTGCAGTTATTAGCTCGTTTGACAATATACCATTGTCTGCGTGATGAGTCTTCTGTACAAAAACTTCCATTTCCACGCTGTTTGAGGATACTTGTTTCACACCTTTTTAGTCAAACTATCAGGGTAAAGTATTAATTTTTTTAATGACAAATTAAATATAACAAGTAGAATGTTTATCAGTAATTCAAGTTTGAGTATTACAAAGATATAATAAAATTAATTAATGTGTGATGGATATGGAATTATTGCTTGCTTACAGTAAGCATTTAGGAAAAATATTTTGTACAAATTTAATGAGTAATATATATAATGATGATTCATGGAAAAAATTTCAACAATTCTTATGATATATAGCTTTCTGTAATAGCATATTTAATATATGTTTCAAATTTATCAATTAATAAAAAAAAACGGTATATTATATTTTCTGATATTTTTGTTTTCTTCAAAAATTTGTTTGTGAGAAAAAAAATCACTATACATCTAATAAGATGATGGTCAAGTTGGAGTAGATCTATTGCAATGCAGTTATAAGCTAGTGATGTAAACTCAAATGTTCTAATTTTCATGCAATGGTCTTTAAAACCAACTAGAACAAAATACTTAGTTATAAATTATTGGGAATAAAAAGTGAATTAAATAATGTTTGCTTATATGTAAAACTTGATTGCCATAGCCTGGAACAAGCCATATTATAATGTATTCATCTAGGTTTTTCCAGTACTAAATGATTAATCTTTGTTTAATTATTATTAAAAAACATCTGTGGTTAGTAATATCAAACAACTTACTTTAAAATTTGTTTAGCTTAATGGCAATATGAGCTGATCACTGCTTTATTATGCAAACATGAAGTACTATGCAAACATGTTAATAATTAATTTTTACTAATATAATGTGGAAAATGCCTTGCTCAATGATAGTTACATTTTTGGAGATTTAAATTAAATCTCCAAAAATATAACATAGAATCAGAATTTAAATGTCTCAGATCTTTAAAAGTAATGCTGTTTTATTTTTTTTCTTAAATAATATGTTAAATTGTAGGTGCATCTACAGTATATTTCATCATTTCATAAGGCAGAAAATACAATAATAATGAGATTTATTAATTTTTTTTATTTTAATAATAATAGTAATAAAATATTTATTTATGAGAGTTAAACTTTTTTTTAGTGCCATTTACCTGATCCTTTATCTTTAAGAGATTTTGTCTCTCGACCTCCACCTAATGACATTCGATTACATTGCACCATGATAAGACATGATGATGAAGTCACAGCAGGAAGTGCTACTTATACATTATTTTTAGAATACCTTGGAGGCTTGGTGCCATTATTAAAAGGAAAACGTGCTAGTAAGCTTCGTCCAGCTTTTGTGATATTTGATCCACAGCTATCAGGTAAATATGATCAACACTTTTGTATAAGACTACATTTTTTTTCTAATTTCTATTTAAAAATAGAAAAACACAAGAAAAAATTTTTTACTCTTTTAAGAATATATTTATATGAATATTATTTTTAAAACTGTTTTTTTTTGTGTGTGTAATAAATTATATAAAAGTGATATTCTGGAGATAAAATTTTTAATCAGATACTTATTTTAATTTATTTCATAAATTAATCCAAACTGTATTTAATTGAAGCAATTACTCTACAATATTTATTATTATTCATTGCCAGAATATTTCAAGTAGTCTTTAAATTATGATAGTTTCATTCTAGGGAATCATACATGTCTATGAAATTAATCCTTGATTCATACAGTACTCTTATTATATAATTTTGGTTTAATGCAGTTAGAAAAATGTGGGAAAAAGTTTCTTTTTGTATGATAGTTTCAGTTTAACATAGTATTTTAAAACATTCTTCAGTATTTTATTGATAAAATGTTTATACTATGCTAATATGGCATTGCAATTGTTACCAATACTTTCAAATTAGAGAGATGGGATTTTTCAGCATGACTTTATGATGATGTCTTGTGATACAATAACAATAATAAGGATTATATTTTGTTTAACATTTCATTTTCTGTAGGCTGATTAAACACTTGTAGTTTGCTGTTTAATAAAATTTTTGAATTATTTTTTCAATTTAGCAGTCTGTATATTCTGTCATTGAAACATGATAATGATGATGCAATTATGATACATATTTTTATAGTTCCAAAATGATTTGCATTGGTGGTTACCCTTATCAAATGATGTTATCTGTTGTCAAAAAGATGGAAATCAACAGTGTAATAGCATTCATGATCACTATGCTAAAATTTGATGACACATTGATAATTTGTGTTGAAAATATTATTTAATTGCTAACAGATCATTAAATAATTTGAGTAAAATTGTGCTAATAAGTTAATATTTATATAAATAAAGCTTAGGGGAAAGACATTTCATTTTTTATTTATTAGGAAGTTTAATGATTAAACAAATTTTTAGACCTATGCTAATATGGCATAATTGAGAAAACATTAGAAAAGAAACAATCTGGAACAGGATTCAAGCTTGTAATTATTATAAACTAAACAAATATATTGAAAATTGTATCATCATCTTGATTTATCAACAGTTATATTCTCTGTTTGACTTAAACACTATTGATAATCTATAAAATTATAGCTTTTTAGCTTCCTCTTGTTTTCTCTTAGTGGAAAAAATGCACACACATAACAGAGACTTGTGGTGTTCTAATTAATCTGTAAATAAATAAAAATATGTTTTAAATCAGCATAAAATTGAATATTTTTATCATGAATAAATGCAAATTATTATACACAAAACTTTATTGTAACTATCCTTTGAAGATTTACAAAGATAATGATATATAATAAATAGCCATTACATCATATAAATGCATGGTTATATGATATATCTAAATTCTTAAGTTCTAATTAAAGAATTAATACATTGCCAGTTATGTTACCAGGTTTTAAGTATTTCTTAAAATCAGATAGCATAAATTGCAATATATTAATTCAGCAATGTGAAAGTTGCAGATTTGAATCCTGCATTGGATAATTTGCACTTCTAGATTTTTCTGAATTACTTAAATAATCCACAAAGAAAANTTGAAAACCAACAACCTGAAGTCAATGTGCCAGCTCAGGAAATAGGTGGTACAATTGTAGTAACCTTTAAAATGTTTTAATCAATTTCTTCCCTGCCCTCCTTGAACTCTCAAAGCCAATTGAAGACTTTTAACCACAAGAGTGTTATCACTATAAACCTGCTTTAGCATGTATATTTCTTTAAGAAATTGCCCAAACAAATGTTAATGTTATTGTGACTACCAATATGAACATATGTTAAAAATATTGTCTATTTATGCTTATTGTTATAAAGATTACACTATATTTTATACTAATTATAATACCCTTGCTCAATATTCCCTATTTCATTAATCACTGAGCACTCCACACCTTGCTTGTGATATCTGTTTATACTGCAGTGATCATGTGACCTGTTTAGATGAAACCACTTCCCTGTTTAGAGTGTTTATATTGTAACAAATCAAGAATCACCCATAAGTGTGGTATACATATATGTACTCATGCCACCCAGTCTTGGAACATTAGATCCTACCTTGAAAATACACATAATTTTACATATATTTATTAATATATTTAATATAGTTAGTATACTAATGTAATATTTCATACAGAAGTGAAATAGCATTTAAGTTAGAATGAACGTTTAATAAATCAAACTTTAAAAATTTCTCAGATTTAATATCATAATTATGATCTTTATAGTCAGATGGCAAACTAGAGAGCACTCTTCAAATGACTTTGATTCAACTAACTAGCAGTTTTATTAAATCTGTGTACTATGTAAATTGAGAATAAATATTTTTATTGAACTATTATGTTTATTTTAAAAATATTCTGTTTAATAATAAATAACTTCCATCTTATTTTTTAAACTGTCAATGAAGTAACACATTTCAATTTAAAGAAAGGTATATCTATAACAATATCATGTAATTAAATGAAAAAATATGGTAAATAACCATCAATTTATAGATATTAAAATTGACTTTATTTTCAATAAAGTAAATTTTAATATCTATAAATCTGTTTATAACTAGAAAATACTATGATGTTTTTAATATATTTAAAAATGTTTATTATCAGTGTTTAACTATTAATAATATGATATCTTTAAAACATATATATAATAAGAGAAACATTAATAGTAATTTTAAATTTTAAGAAAGAGAAGGAAAACAGCATGGACAAAAGTTTACTCCTCATCAGTCTTCAGCCAGTATAAATTCTTCTCAATTTGTTGGTTGTAGTCCTCCTGCCAGAATTCCAGCTTACTTACCTCTGTCATCATCAGAAAGTGAATTTGAAGATGGATGTGCATCTCCAAGAATACAACGAAGAAGAAAACATCGTCATCAAAATTATCCAAAACAGTTTGAAAATGGTTCTTTTGAGGGGCGTGACTTATTCTTTATTGATGAACTTCCTGAGGTATGTGGTTTTTCTTGTATTTAAGAGGCTTCATTTATGAAAAATCTTTTATGATTTCCTTACTACATACAAATTATTTATTCCAAATAATAAGTTTAAAAAATTTATTACATTATCTTAAATTAAATGAATATTTTCAGCAAGAGAAAATTGTAGCTGTGCATTCAAATATTTGGGGAACAAAATTTAAACTTCAAGGTATTGTGTCATGGCTGCCTTCAATTTTAGGAACTGTAACTTATCGAACAAGTGTTCTTCATCTTCAGCCTAGACAGATGACTTTAGTGATCAAAGAATTGCAGGGACCGCAACCTTCAGGAAATAATCAAGATAGTCAAGGAATAGTTTTTTCAGAAGATGAAGATGATGTATTTGGTAACTTTCAATATTTTAAAATATCTAAGAAGTATTTAGTATGTATATAATTATTACTAATTAAATTTTGAATTAAATTTTTTCAATATTTTGTTTATTATTATATATCAGGTATACAAATACGAAGAAAGCTGGAATTAATATTGCCACTGATTAGTAGGCATTGTTGGTATTTGTTATTGCCTTTAGTTGTGTATTATATTGAAAACTTTGTTTTGATGTTAAGATATTAACAACTTGCTCACTGTATTAATTTTAAATTCAAAGAGCTTGATAAAGCTATAAACTGCATTTAGTTTTAAAATAAGAACTTTGCATTTAACATAATTAAATGGCCTAGAATCAGATCTACATAAGTTATCTTATTGACTTTGTTGGATATCAACAAAATCAGCCTTTAAAATTGCTAGTAAATCATATTTGCCATTGGATTTAAACAGCTCATTGTAGTATTATTAAATATAACTCAGATATTTCAATAGAAGTATTTTCAGAAAGTTTGTCAGTTTAACCATATTTAAATAAGTTAATTAAAATGGACTTAAATGTTTTTGCCACAACTTTAATCAAAACACTTAATGAAACATTTATCAACTTAGCTTTAATCATCATTGGTACTCTAAAACATTGAATTTACATTAATGTTTATAATGCTTATTGTGACTGTACCAGTATAAACATATGTTAAAAATTTTGTCTATTTATGCTTATTGTTATAAATATTACACTATAATTTATGACAGTTAGGTTTGTGCATGGATCCTATTAGGCTATAATGATTTTCATATCTTGAAAAACCTCATCATGAAACCTTTTTGTGTCATGTAGTTGTTGCCAGAAAACTGTGACTTGAGCACTTCTAGTTCTATAACCTACATCTTACATTCAAAATGTATAGGTATTAAATACAGGTCTTGCATGGATCTGGTTACAAAGTCTGATAGGGAAATGGAAGAAAGCAAGCATTAGGTCGTGTTTTCAAAGAGAGCAGAAAGAATGAAAATATGGATTTATGTAGTTTTGGCTCTAGTAGTTCAATTATATCAAGTTTTAAACTTCAATAGTTAACAGTTATGATTAGAATTAATAAAATTATATATACAAACTTATATTTAGATTTTTATTAATTTTTGAATATGTATACTTTTAAAAGTGACATAAGTATTTTCACTTTGTTGTTATAAAGTTTTTTCTTTTGGTTTTTAAATTTTTAGTATATTTTATATACAAAATAGCATCCAAAAATTCTGGGACTAGGTCCATAAGTCAAGAAATTGTTATTTACAATACTGAAATGTATTTTTTTCAAAATAAGCTCCACTTGCAACAACACACTTCTACCAGCAGGTATAGAAGTTTTGGAAACACTTCCAGAATTCTTTTTTCACAATGTTCCTTCAGTTCAATCAGCATTGCATTCTTCTCTTTTACTGTGTTTGAAAACCAACAACCTGAAGTCAATGTGCCAGCTCAGGAAATAGGTGGTACAATTGTAGTAACCTTTAAAATGTTTTAATCAATTTCTTCCCTGCCCTCCTTGAACTGTCAAAGCCAATTGAAGACTTTTAACCACAAGAGTGTTATCACTATAAACCTGCTTTAGCATGTATATTTCTTTAAGAAATTGCCCAAACAAATGTTAATGTTATTGTGACTACCAATATGAACATATGTTAAAAATATTGTCTATTTATGCTTATTGTTATAAAGATTACACTATATTTTATACTAATTATAATACCCTTGCTCAATATTCCCTATTTCATTAATCACTGAGCACTCCACACCTTGCTTGTGATATCTGTTTATACTGCAGTGATCATGTGACCTGTTTAGATGAAACCACTTCCCTGTTTAGAGTGTTTATATTGTAACAAATCAAGAATCACCCATAAGTGTGGTATACATATATGTACTCATGCCACCCAGTCTCGGAACATTAGATCCTACCTTGAAAATACACATAATTTTACATATATTTATTAATATATTTAATATAGTTAGTATACTAATGTAATATTTCATACAGAAGTGAAATAGCATTTAAGTTAGAATGAACGTTTAATAAATCAAACTTTAAAAATTTCTCAGATTTAATATCATAATTATGATCTTTATAGTCAGATGGCAAACTAGAGAGCACTCTTCAAATGACTTTGATTCAACTAACTAGCAGTTTTATTAAATCTGTGTACTATGTAAATTGAGAATAAATATTTTTATTGAACTATTATGTTTATTTTAAAAATATTCTGTTTAATAATAAATAACTTCCATCTTATTTTTTAAACTGTCAATGAAGTAACACATTTCAATTTAAAGAAAGGTATATCTATAACAATATCATGTAATTAAATGAAAAAATATGGTAAATAACCATCAATTTATAGATATTAAAATTGACTTTATTTTCAATAAAGTAAATTTTAATATCTATAAATCTGTTTATAACTAGAAAATACTATGATGTTTTTAATATATTTAAAAATGTTTATTATCAGTGTTTAACTATTAATAATATATTTTTTCAATAATAATTAATCGCGTAAAAAACTTATTTTTCTAGATCCAGAACTTACTTGTTACCAAAGTGTTCCAATTGCACCCATGACTCCAAAAAAACAACCTAGAATTGGATTGCCATCGTATCATTATTTTTACCAAAGAAATAATTTATCTTCAGATGATGATGATCGAGAAACAGGAGACTATGTTGATTTTATTCCATCTGAAGAACTTTTAACATTTCAAACTTTACAAGATAGAGGTGTCCATTTGATAACATTACAACCTTCTAAAACTGCAATAGAAACTTCAGTTGTAGTTCAGAATTCTGTTGTAAATTCTATTAATGTTCATCCTTCATCTGCTTATCATAATCATTACACATATTCACCCCATTTTCTAAACTATTCATTAACAGAATCCAATGTTCATGCAGATAAAAGTAATGATAAAGAAAAGCCCATTCGCACTGAAATAACAAAATGTTCTGAAGAGAATCCTAATTCTGTTCCAACACATTGGAACACAAATTTATTAGAAGCAGATTCTAATAACTTTTTATCTGTTAGCAATAATTTTCTGGCTGTATCATCTCCAGGTTCTACATCTGATAGTTCAGGTTCAAGTTCCATTTCTGGTGCAGATTGGAATAAACACTCAAAAGGATCACAGAAGGTTTCAGTGTCTCAGGCTGAAGTTCCATCAGAAATAGATATTCCAGTCACTGTAAATTCAACAGTTTTACCAAGTCCAAAGAAAACTCAGTCCCATTATGAATCATCCCATAGTCCAATTCCTAAATGGGAAATGCATACCAAAGTCAACCAAATTAATCATTATGAAGAAACTGGAGTACAGTCTTGCAGTCAGTCCATGTCCAGTTCTGTTCCTCGCTGGGCTGAAAAAGCAGGGGATATTAAATATATTGATGACGACACAGATGATACTTTAATAGAAAAAAATTTGCAACAATCTTTGCCCACAAAATTGTTAGGAAATCATCGGAATCGTAATGTAAGGCATCTACATAACACAGATACTACTAGTGTTAAAGATAAAAATGTGTTTCTTAGGGATAAGCATCACACATCAAAGTTGAAGACATCTGACTTTAACAAATCTGATCACAAATTACAAGCACCTCAATTAGCTAGTAATAGTTTGGATGTTGACGAACATTTTTATTTTTGTGGAAGAGATGAAACTTCAAGTAATAGTTACAATGAGAATACAGAGACAAAATCAAATCTTTTACAGAATGGCAGCAATGATAGCATTAATATTCCAGTGATTGAAGCAGAAAATGTTCTTAATGATACTGGTGTTTCAGAACAAAGCACTAATTTGCGATCTGCTAATTCTAGTCCTGAGACTCGTAAAAAACAAAACGGATTTAGTCTCTCAATTCCATTTCGTTTTAAAGAACACCGAGCCAGTTTGCCTCAAGCAGAGGATTTACTTGATTCTTCTCGTCCATTATCACCAACAAGCAAGAGTATACCTTCATCTCCTGTTACAAAACGTAAAAATCAAACTCAAAGACGTGGATTACTTTATAGTCCATTATTATTGCGTAAAGTACGAAGGCAGCATTTGGTAGAAAGTTCTGATGAAGAAGGTACAAGTGACGATTCTCGAAGTGAAGAATTCAAAGACTTGGAAAGTTTCCAAAAAGCATACATTCGTAAAAAGGTTAGTTTAAAATTTTTAATAGAATTACTTGAAAAAATTGTGATTTAAATTTTATAGAAAGTTGTTTTGAATTCAATTTCAATCAATAATTTAAATGCATTTGTGTTTTTAAATTTTTACATGGATTTCTCTGGAAAAATGTGTGTTAAAAGTAATTGTATTCTAATTTTAAAATAAAGCTGTAAAGACATTTTAATTATTATTAGATAAACTACAATACAAAAATTTATTTTATATATTTTATTTTCAATGGTCTGGCCAGCCATATGTGGGCATGCATTGTCATGCAATAACACTTTTTTTGACGATAGGCTTTGATGTTGTAAACCTCCAATGAATTTCAGCCCCTGTCACCTCTTCTAACCAGAGAAATTGGATCACTGCTTCTTGTTTCTCCTTAGAACACTGCTAGCAGAGCAGCAAAGTTTACACTGAAACAGAAACAAGAAAAATGATGCTATCAAGGTCAAACTTTAATAACATAACCATAGTAGAATAAACATTAAAGATGTGCAGAAGACAGTGTGACAAACCTAACAATGTGTTATGGTGAAAGTACAGATAATTTTTGACTTTTCTACATACTTAAAAAAATAATATATAATATTTTTAAATAAGTTAAATAATAATGTAATAATTTAAAATTGATTTTAAATTTAATAGTTGAGAAAATGGAGAAGTAGAAGTACACCAGAAGGATCAAATAATGCACCTTCCTACCGTGAATTTGTACTTCACAACAAAGCACCATTATGGAATGAAGTAGGACAGGTTTATCAACTTGATTTCAGTGGAAGAGTAACACAGGAATCGGCTAAGAATTTTCAAATTGAATTCCATGGCAGACAGGTATAAAAAAGTTTGAAATATTCAAATAAAATTTTTATTTAGATTTGTATATGCATTTTTTCCCTTCTGCAGGTGATGCAATTTGGAAAAATTGATACAAATGTTTACACATTAGACTTTCAGTACCCATTTAGTGCACTTCAAGCATTTGCAGTAGCACTTGCAAATGTAACTCAGCGTCTGAAATGAAGATTCCATCCAGTCCAATGAAAAGATCTAGAATTACCTGACTCTCAGTAAAGGAGAATTTGAAAATAAAAAAACAAATATACTTATAAAATTTATTTCTTTTAAATTGATAATGTTTCTAAGAAATTGATTTAATTTAGATATTTATCAGAAGATATATTCTGGTTTCAGAGCTGTATGTACAGCAGAAATGTAGATAAAAATGAATCATTTGTACAGTATGACAGAATTGGATATTTAACATTATATATATACACACACACAATATATATATATAATATATACATATATATTTTTTTTATTTATTTACTTATTTTTAATTTTTTGCTGGAAAATGTAGCTCAAACTTTTGAAACCATCCTGTTGTTGTAAATGAGATTATGTTTTTACTGTGTTGTTAAATCAATGTATCAAGTGTTGTGATAGCTTATTGATTGTGCATGTTATAAATGGCAATACTCATGTAAATGTTATATTCCATTGCCTTGGAGGATTGGACACAACATTGAATTTCAGGAATGTATTATTATATCATATTATTAAATATTATATGGATTTTTAATCTTAGTAGAAATCACAACCATTTACTAAGACTTGTCATAAATGTCTTCATACAAATGTTATTCTAACTTTGATTTAATGAGTTGATTTGTAAATGTAATTTCTAGTTATAAGATAAAAAATATTTTGTTTTATTTATATATATCGCAAAATACATTGTAATATATATATATAAATATACATTTAGAAACGAGATTATATATATATATTATATTTAACTAATTATTAAACTTCATTGTATATAAACATGTTATATTATAAAGCATGTATAGTTTGTTAAACTATTACTATTTATTATTGTTAAGTACTGTATATTGTATAATGATCTNTAAATATACATTTAGAAACGAGATTATATATATATATTATATTTAACTAATTATTAAACTTCATTGTATATAAACATGTTATATTATAAAGCATGTATAGTTTGTTAAACTATTACTATTTATTATTGTTAAGTACTGTATATTGTATAATGATCTCTCTTGGTTTAATTAGAAGAGATCCATTTATATAAATTAGTGTAAGAAACAAATTAGTAAGTTAAATATTAACATATTAGATTAACTTAAATAGTACAATTGTTTCTTAATATCCCATATAAAATTTAGACAATCACATTTTAATATTTTCAGATTTTTCTTATTTCATTCTTGTAGATATTCTAATATTTATTACAAAAAACTTCTCTCTTTTACTGTGTGAATGAAGATGAGTTATCCGAATTATCTTGGAATAAACACTCAAAAGGATCACAGAAGGTTTCAGTGTCTCAGGCTGAAGTTCCATCAGAAATAGATATTCCAGTCACTGTAAATTCAACAGTTTTACCAAGTCCAAAGAAAACTCAGTCCCATTATGAATCATCCCATAGTCCAATTCCTAAATGGGAAATGCATACCAAAGTCAACCAAATTAATCATTATGAAGAAACTGGAGTACAGTCTTGCAGTCAGTCCATGTCCAATTCTGTTCCTCGCTGGGCTGAAAAAGCAGGGGATATTAAATATATTGATGACGACACAGATGATACTTTAATAGAAAAAAATTTGCAACAATCTTTGCCCACAAAATTGTTAGGAAATCATCGGAATCGTAATGTAAGGCATCTACATAACACAGATACTACTAGTGTTAAAGATAAAAATGTGTTTCTTAGGGATAAGCATCACACATCAAAGTTGAAGACATCTGACTTTAACAAATCTGATCACAAATTACAAGCACCTCAATTAGCTAGTAATAGTTTGGATGTTGACGAACATTTTTATTTTTGTGGAAGAGATGAAACTTCAAGTAATAGTTACAATGAGAATACAGAGACAAAATCAAATCTTTTACAGAATGGCAGCAATGATAGCATTAATATTCCAGTGATTGAAGCAGAAAATGTTCTTAATGATACTGGTGTTTCAGAACAAAGCACTAATTTGCGATCTGCTAATTCTAGTCCTGAGACTCGTAAAAAACAAAACGGATTTAGTCTCTCAATTCCATTTCGTTTTAAAGAACACCGAGCCAGTTTGCCTCAAGCAGAGGATTTACTTGATTCTTCTCGTCCATTATCACCAACAAGCAAGAGTATACCTTCATCTCCTGTTACAAAACGTAAAAATCAAACTCAAAGACGTGGATTACTTTATAGTCCATTATTATTGCGTAAAGTACGAAGGCAGCATTTGGTAGAAAGTTCTGATGAAGAAGGTACAAGTGACGATTCTCGAAGTGAAGAATTCAAAGACTTGGAAAGTTTCCAAAAAGCATACATTCGTAAAAAGGTTAGTTTAAAATTTTTAATAGAATTACTTGAAAAAATTGTGATTTAAATTTTATAGAAAGTTGTTTTGAATTCAATTTCAATCAATAATTTAAATGCATTTGTGTTTTTAAATTTTTACATGGATTTCTCTGGAAAAATGTGTGTTAAAAGTAATTGTATTCTAATTTTAAAATAAAGCTGTAAAGACATTTTAATTATTATTAGATAAACTACAATACAAAAATTTATTTTATATATTTTATTTTCAATGGTCTGGCCAGCCATATGTGGGCATGCATTGTCATGCAATAACACTTTTTTTGACGATAGGCTTTGATGTTGTAAACCTCCAATGAATTTCAGCCCCTGTCACCTCTTCTAAGCAGAGAAATTGGATCACTGCTTCTTGTTTCTCCTTAGAACACTGCTAGCAGAGCAGCAAAGTTTACACTGAAACAGAAACAAGAAAAATGATGCTATCAAGGTCAAACTTTAATAACATAACCATAGTAGAATAAACATTAAAGATGTGCAGAAGACAGTGTGACAAACCTAACAATGTGTTATGGTGAAAGTACAGATAATTTTTGACTTTTCTACATACTTAAAAAAATAATATATAATATTTTTAAATAAGTTAAATAATAATGTAATAATTTAAAATTGATTTTAAATTTAATAGTTGAGAAAATGGAGAAGTAGAAGTACACCAGAAGGATCAAATAATGCACCTTCCTACCGTGAATTTGTACTTCACAACAAAGCACCATTATGGAATGAAGTAGGACAGGTTTATCAACTTGATTTCAGTGGAAGAGTAACACAGGAATCGGCTAAGAATTTTCAAATTGAATTCCATGGCAGACAGGTATAAAAAAGTTTGAAATATTCAAATAAAATTTTTATTTAGATTTGTATATGCATTTTTTCCCTTCTGCAGGTGATGCAATTTGGAAAAATTGATACAAATGTTTACACATTAGACTTTCAGTACCCATTTAGTGCACTTCAAGCATTTGCAGTAGCACTTGCAAATGTAACTCAGCGTCTGAAATGAAGATTCCATCCAGTCCAATGAAAAGATCTAGAATTACCTGACTCTCAGTAAAGGAGAATTTGAAAATAAAAAAACAAATATACTTATAAAATTTATTTCTTTTAAATTGATAATGTTTCTAAGAAATTGATTTAATTTAGATATTTATCAGAAGATATATTCTGGTTTCAGAGCTGTATGTACAGCAGAAATGTAGATAAAAATGAATCATTTGTACAGTATGACAGAATTGGATATTTAACATTATATATATACACACACACAATATATATATATAATATATACATATATATTTTTTTTATTTATTTACTTATTTTTAATTTTTTGCTGGAAAATGTAGCTCAAACTTTTGAAACCATCCTGTTGTTGTAAATGAGATTATGTTTTTACTGTGTTGTTAAATCAATGTATCAAGTGTTGTGATAGCTTATTGATTGTGCATGTTATAAATGGCAATACTCATGTAAATGTTATATTCCATTGCCTTGGAGGATTGGACACAACATTGAATTTCAGGAATGTATTATTATATCATATTATTAAATATTATATGGATTTTTAATCTTAGTAGAAATCACAACCATTTACTAAGACTTGTCATAAATGTCTTCATACAAATGTTATTCTAACTTTGATTTAATGAGTTGATTTGTAAATGTAATTTCTAGTTATAAGATAAAAAATATTTTGTTTTATTTATATATATCGCAAAATACATTGTAATATATATATATAAATATACATTTAGAAACGAGATTATATATATATATTATATTTAACTAATTATTAAACTTCATTGTATATAAACATGTTATATTATAAAGCATGTATAGTTTGTTAAACTATTACTATTTATTATTGTTAAGTACTGTATATTGTATAATGATCTCTCTTGGTTTAATTAGAAGAGATCCATTTATATAAATTAGTGTAAGAAACAAATTAGTAAGTTAAATATTAACATATTAGATTAACTTAAATAGTACAATTGTTTCTTAATATCCCATATAAAATTTAGACAATCACATTTTAATATTTTCAGATTTTTCTTATTTCATTCTTGTAGATATTCTAATATTTATTACAAAAAACTTCTCTCTTTTACTGTGTGAATGAAGATGAGTTATCCGAATTATCTTGGTGCTGTTATTTAATTCTTATTTATATAAAATATATTTACATTAATTATATAATTAACTTTTGTAATTGTGATTACTTATTTAATTAAAAAGGAATTTTATTAGGAAATTAAAGATCAATAACAATAAAAATTATATTTGCAAAATATAAATATTTTTGATCTCTTGTCAGATCATCATTTTAATTTTTCAGTGAATTGCCAAGTAGAATGTACAGTATAAATAATAAATGTTAAACGTGTTTCAAAATTCAATTTTTGGACAAACCAAACACATTTTACAACGAAATACATTGCAAATATAAATTTTATTAATATAAAATTAGTTTATTGATCTTAGAAACTAGTAGCTGTTTCTGAATTATTTTAAATTTTATTTGAAGCAGTAATCATACAGAAAAATTAACAAAGTAACTAAATTTAAACTTTTAAAGCAATTTGATTACATGTGACTGTTTGATTTAAAATATAAATTTTATTGTATTTTATATAAGAACAAAAAGAAAATATTTTCAAATATGTAAGCTATAATCTGCAATTTGTGAATTGTTATCAGATTTTAACCTATGAACACGTTTTTAAAATTAATTATTTCTAGTTTATTTTAATTTGTTAAAAGATATTTTATTTATTTTGATCATTTAGGATTCTGAATACTTATATTTATAAACTATATTGAAAAATCATTTTGATTAATGAATCAAAAATTAATTTATTTAACTTTTAAATTATAAATTTTATAAAATGTAATTTAAAACTAAAAAAGCTAATTGAAATGCAATTACAGTATTTTCTCCAACAAACTTAATATTTCTGATTGGACAGTTTAGATATTTGTTATAATCCTGAATTTAAAAAATTATTTTAAATGTTTATAATTTTGTTATTAAATTATAGAATATTTATAATGTTACATTAAAGGTTTTTAATATCATCACTAATCTAATTTTATTCAAATTACTTTGATTTGATTCCAGAATGTTCATTATATTCTAATTTCATTACATTATTTTTTATTATATCAGTAAAAATGTATCATTTAATATCAAGTAGATTAAAAAAACTGAAGATCTGATAAAAATTTCACTTTATGATACAATAAAATTATTAATTTGTATTATATTATTAAAATTGTCAAAAATCTTCATTTATTATTCATAAAATTATTTTTCTGATATTTTAATAACAAGTAGAGAGATTTTCCTAAATATTTAAAATAGATTCTTACTTTAAATTAACCATTTAGAACTTTTATATAGTTTTTAAGTTTGTTATTTTATATTATTCTGGCTTAAAAGTTTAAAAATATATATATATTTATAAACATTTTATTATTAAAAATTTAAACAGACAATAATTCTATTTTTTGAAGTGAGTTTGATAAAGATTTTTTAACTGAAAAATAATGAAAAAAGAAACATTTGGCATTGAAACAGTTAATCTGCTTGATATTTTTAATATAAATTTTCAAGTTAATTTTTTTAACATCAGTTCAGCATATACTTGTGTATGTATATTTTAACATGATTATTTTATGAAAAGAACATTCTTTTATATAACATATTTGAGCATAAATGATTATTAGAATTTACTATATATAATTTTTCTATTTTATTCAATACAACATAGAAAAATATTTCATAAAATTATAAAATTTTAATGTAATTTATTTGTAAACAGCTTGCATTGTGTGTTCATGTGTGTCTGTCTGGGTGTGCGACTGTGTATGTCAAAGTAGGAAAGCCTTACTGTCTTGCTCCATGTCTTTATTCCTACTGATATTTTTAAACAATTACATCAGTGGTGGTCAAACTATAGCTTGAATAATATAAAATTATACAAAACGTAGTAAATTAAAGAAAATTTTATGATTTTGTTCTTATAAGATATCTGGAATTTAGATAATTCAAGTGTTTGACCACTCCTGATAAATATATATATGTATTTTGATCTCAAATCAAATGTTTTTCTACATGCATATTTTAGAAAATTGAATATTATTTAATTATATATTGTACACAGTTATACACATAAGTACTCAATAGTTGGATATTATAAAAAGTAAAATAATTATTTACTTAGTTTATGAGCAAAAAGTGCAACAGGAATGTCATCAGCAATAATATAATGATAAGCTGATCTACCGAATACTTCATGGGGAAGATGACCAGTAATTGTCGAGAGCCTAAAAAAGAATATGACAAAAAATTACATCTAAGTCAAAAACATTTCAAAAATTTTAAAATTATTTACATTCATAATTGAATAACCAAATAGAAATGAATAATAATTTTTTCTTTACAAGATAAACGAGAAAGNTATTGAACTAACAATCAAGATTGACTTCCCAAGTTTCAGATAATTTAATTGATTGGCATTATATTTTTTAAAAATCTTATTATCATCAGATCCTACAAATTCCATTATGAAATGCTGTGAAAGCAAAGTTTAGACAAAAAAATAATTGGTAATGATGTAAATAAATAATATTATGATATGCAATAATGATGTAATTATAATGTTAGAATAACTAAATTTTTTTCTGTTTTTATATTAGAATGTCAATTGATATCAATGTTGTTATTGCAGTTCCTACTAGACGATGACATTGCAGTATATTCATATCATCATCACGTGTTTTTTTTACACATAAAATATAATTGTAAATCTAAATTATTAGCATTTTGAGCTATATATGAGATTAAATATAGCTTAAAAATATCCAACAGGTTTATGATTAATTACTTTGGACTTCAGTTATGTTGTTTATACATAAAATACAATTTCTTTGTTACGTAGAATAAAGCTTTTAAAGATTATCTCACCAAACTTTAAAAATTTCTTGGAATATTGCATCCAATGAATAATTTATCATTAAAACATTAATTTTTTTCTGAAAGAATTAGCCTGAAAAGTTAATCATCATTAATATATGAAGTATGTGATGTTATAAGGAGTTGGTTTCATCAATGTGCAAAGACAAACTATTAACCAGACTTCACAAATCTTTCTGTATTTGCATATGCAATATGTTTATTGTAAATATTATTGTAAAAAAATTTGTCGTGTAACTATAATCAAAATTATTTCTTAAATATAAATATTTGTAATAAACTTTGCAATGATTGGAATTAGTTCAAGCATCATTTAGTGGCATTTCAAATATAAAAACTGAATTTTTAATAGGGTGATATGAACATTGCCCACAGTCAAATTAAATGTTAAATAAATTTATTTTAAAGTTATTTCAAATAAATTGATCAATGTACATGAGAGTAATTAACCCAAGAAATGCTAGCTATATTTATTTTTGAATATATATATATATATATATACACACACACACACAAATTTCTGTATTAATTTTACTAATATAAAATATTTAATATTGTAAAAGTTTACAGTTTATTTAAATTTGTGTACTCTGGAGTGAATTCAGTTTTGTACATCTGTAGAATTTTTTTGTAAACAAAAAGTCCATGTGATAATGAACTTTCCTAATAAGTCTGACTATTTTCATAATCATTTATCCAATCACGTAAATATGATTTGCGTGGTCATTTTCTAGTACTAGTCATTAGAATTTAAAATATTAGCTAAATTTTAGTAGATTTGGACGACAATTGTTGCTTTTGTAGTAATTCATCTATTTGCAAATTTGTTAATACTGTTAATGGTGAAATGTTACTTCGTAGCAATTATTTATTACGTTCGATAGTTTAAATATTTATAATTAGGAAAAATACGCATACCAATCCTCCAAAGCCTGGAAATGTATGATATTTTTTGATGTGCATTGTTTACTTGTTGTTTTTTTAATATAATGGGCTGAGATGGTTGGTTTATTTTATCTTGATTGATGATATTAAGTGCATAGAATGTACTATGCAGCTCAACTTAAAACTGTCAATGCTATCAAAACCTACCTCTTATTTTAAAATGTTTTGTTTATTTTATCTGTTGATTATTGTTTTTGAATAAAATTTAAAAAAGTCAATTAAATTATAGAACTATACAGTTCATTCTAGATGTAACTGTACATCATTTGTAAATAGCACATTGCTGTTTACAATTCTTTATGAAATAAAATTTTAAGGAAATGTTGATGTCTTATCTTTTACTAGAATATAAGTTTATAAAATATTTTTAAACACATGACTCTGTACATACTAAAGAGAATTTAAAATTTTCAGGTATAAAACATTGTCAAAAAATTGAATTATAAATTTAAAACATCCAAAATTAGTAAGTTAATTTGAAAATATCAACTTTTTTTTTAATATCAAATGCATGCAATCATATATCCTTAACTATAGTTTTGCAATTATATAGTTTATATCAAAAATTGGATAAAATTAAAATTTATGAAATTTATTATAATGTAATAACTTATTTTTGATTATATCAACAAATTTCCTAATTTTCTTATTACCCACAGAGACTTTGATTTTACCAACTGTACCATGTTTTTGGAATGTGACCTCCTTAATGGCGAGGGACACCTATATTAACTAATTGAAATTTCATAAGATTTCTATTATAATCGCACAAATTTTTTAAATTAAAGTTGAAAATATTAGACTGCAGATCTAAATCATCGAGGAAAAGTTTAACTGTTGTTGAGATATATTACTGT